CCCCAAAACCCCAAAACCCCAAAACCCCAAAACCCCAAAACCCCAGCATAATTATTTCTTTTTGAAATTAATCTAGATTCCCCAAGCGTTTCTAATCATGACTTCGAAGTATTCATCTGTATCAATGGAGGCTGATACATCTTTAAAGTACTCTACGAATTCATCAAAGGTTACTATCCCATCAGCGACTTGTGTATCCCATTGGCTCATGAACTCCTCATAAACTTGCTCCTCTGTCTTATTTTTGGAGATTACATCTGGGTGATGGGAAGCATCATACAGCTTAGCAATATCTTCCAAAGTGACTTGTCCATCCTTGTTGATGTCTAGCTTATCATAGGCAAGTTTGATGAGATTTTCTCTAAACTCATTGATGTCTCCTTTCAGATATCTCAAGAACTCATCGAAGTTAACATGGCCATCGCCATCCCTGTCAAACTTTTTGAGGCAGAGCTGTGCTTGCTCATCTGTGAGAGTGAAACCAAAATCAAGCATTCCATCTTGGAATTCCTTGAGATCAAGCTTTCTACCACCGTCGTTGTCAAGGATTTTGAATTGTCTTGCTAACCCTCTGATTCCGTAAGAGCCTCTCTCAAGTAGCTTGTTCTTGATATCTTTAAGGAGATCATCAACGGTGTATTTCATTTCTTCCTCTACTTCTTCAGCAGCCTTTGGGTCACTAGAGGTTCAGAACATCCAAACGTTTTGATCATGAAGGAATTTAGTAGCGCTATCACTGGCTATAGCTCCTGCTGATTCAAGAGCCAGGTTCTGGCTCTTGTTCTTAGTAGCATTGTTATGAACACAGACTTCGTATTCTAATCCAAAATCATTTCTGTAATCAATAAGATCACTAGCTAGAAGCTCTCCAGTTGAACAGTGTTTTATAGTGATAGCAGAATTTGCTGGAACTGGCTTTCCGTGGTCAATTTTCTTCTTTAATGGATCTACAGGCTCAACAGTCCAAACGGTATTGTAGATTTTCTTAATATGCATTCATACCTCTTGATGTCTAGAGAATCTAGCATAGCAGAGAGGAGAAATCTGACAAGAATGGAGGTACAAATTCTTTCCAGTCATGAATTTATTTGCTTGAATTCTTATCTTGTCTCCATATCTAATTATTTCATCAGAGTCATCATCAGCCTTGTTTAATCTAGATTATCATTAAATTTAAAGAATTACTGGAATATATTCCTTGCGCTTGCTTCAGTTGCTTTCTTACTAGTAGTATTGGCATATGCTTCATCATGAGTAACTATTTTATCTCCCATATCAAAGACCAAATATCCTTCAGTTTTCTTGTTCAAGAGCATAACTTTGTCACCATATCTAAGATAGCCATCAGCAGAGTAACTGTGTGGGACCTTTTTGAATGAGCCTGCGAACTTCTGTTGAGTCTTAGTAACTGCTAATTTACTTTCTTCCTTTTCTTTGATGTACTTTTTCATTCTATTTTATGATAAAATGTCGGAATTACCTTTCTTCTCTTTCCTCAAAGTCTTCATACCAGTTGCCCACTCTTGTCTTGTGGGAATACTTGCCTCCACCAGAGAGTTGTTGAGGAGTGAAATTCATTTGAAATAAATTTTTAAATTATAATTTTATTTAAATTTAGTATAAAAGGGGTTTTGGGGTTTTGGGGTTTTGGGGTTTTGGGGTTTTGGG